AGCTTGAACGTAGTTTCAACACAATATTGTGGACTCGTGACCTTGAACAAGTTGTCGAGAACTCGGAACGCTTCAAAATACCTAATCTCACAGAGTGAAAATTTGTCATATGGCTCTTAGCGTAGTAGAAAAAGCATTTTATTTGATAATTAAGGTTTTGTACATTGTTATAGTAATAGACTAAAAGTTAGTGACGAACTAACATCTTTTGTAATAATTCGATATTTTTTACTGTTTCTAAGTACGGTGGCGCAATTACGCTGGCTCCGGTGGCGGAATATAGCGCCACTGTAATTGAACAGTGCCACCGGAATTGCTTTCTCACTAATACTATTGACTAACTTTAACCCGTTTTTAATTTTATTATCAGTTCATATCTCTATCTATCATTCTCAAATCTACCAAGCAACTTCCATGAATAGGGTGAAGGGCCAAGGTAATGCTATATATTATTATTATTATTATAATTCATTAACAATATTTATATCGGTTTAACATCTAACATCCTTTTAGATAACAAACCAATAAAGGCCCCATTTATTCTGACATTAGATTTAATTCACACAAAATAGATTTTTATATTATTTAATAACAAAAACTTTATTACAAATTTATATATTATAGATTGAACAGTAAAATAGTTAAATAACGTATTGTTTTAGTATGGCACCACGAAAAAGAAAACAAACTAGAGAAGAACGTTTAGAAAAAAAGAGATTAGCAGAGCGAGAAAGAAAAAAAAGAATAAAGAGCGATCCTATCCTGTATGCGAAAGAAAAACACAAACAAAGGTATTTTCGGTTAAAAGAAGAAGGAAAAATTCTTTCTATAGCAGAAATGACACCCAGAGATCGCCGAAGGCGCCAAAAACAAAATCGTATATATTTTAAAAGATATTACGACTCAAAAAAAATAAAATTGACTAAAAATGCTGAAGAAGTTCCTTCAAGTGTCAGTCAGCAAATTCCATGTTCTAACAATGTTCAGCATCAGGCGAAGGTTCAGCTAGAAGAAGAGCATGTTCATGCCACTGCACGTGTTTTACGCCCCCGTCATACTAGCAGTCCTAGTCGCGACCCATGTTCTCTTTTGTCATCACCTTGTGCTAGCAGCATTCATTCACCAGATATTTCTATCTGTCCTAGTAGTCCAGGATCTGATACTTCTATAAAATCAGATGTATCCTTACGCATGAAATTCAAAAGGTATCAAATACATAAAGCAAAAGAAATAATGTCATTACGTAAAAAAATAATACAGTTAAGTAAAGATAAAGAACGTTATAGAAAAAAGTTGCAGCGAAGTATTGATAACCCAAAAAAATCAGTTGTAGTACCTTCAATTATAATAAAAAGTCCAAAACTGAAAAATATTGATAACAGATTACGAAATTCAGTAAAAATTTTTTACGAAAATGATGCTAATAGTAGACTGTGCCCCGGAAAAAAAGATTATATAACAAAAAATGGTTTAAAAATGCAAAAAAGATATTTAACTGATTCTATTAAGAATTTACATAAAAAGTATTTAAAGACCGGAAATAAACCAATAAGCTACGTAACATTTTCCAGATTAAGACCATTTTGGGTTATCAAGCCTGACGCAAGATCACGAAATACATGCGTTTGTAAAATTCATTATAATATGGAATTGCTTGTGAATTCTTTAAAGAAACATAAGTTGATCAATGAAAACACTACAACTGATGTTATGCACACCTTGTGCTGTAGCCATGTTGGTGTCAAATGTTTATTAAGACAATGTTCGGGATGCAAAAATAAATCTTTAAACTATTTAGAGTTTAACAACATTAACAAAATTGTGTATTGGGCCTGGGAAAAGGTTACACAAACCTATATAAAGGATAATATTTTTAAACTCACACGATTTGAATACATTATAATTATATGCAATCGGGTCTTGTTCGTGCATTTTTTAAAACAATTAATTTACCTCGACGTTTCGGCTACGTTACAGCAGCCGTGGTCACGAGGAGACTGTTTTTGAGACGAGGAGATTGTTTTAAAAAATGCACGAACAAGACCCTATTGCATATAATTATAATCTATATGAAGGATAATGTTGAAAAAAAAACTACCATTATTAAAAAAGTAAAGCATCTAGTCACCCCTAAGGAATTAATAGAAAAAATTGAAAAAGAGATTAATGCCTTCCTAAAACACTGTGGTAATATAAAAAATCAATACGAAACTTTGAACAATTTAAAACAGAGCCTAGGTGAGAATGAATGCATAATACACATAGATTTTAGTGAAAATTATAATAGTAAATACCATGCTGAAATACAATCCATTCATTTTGGAGAAAGTAGAAGTCAACTAACACTGCACACATCCATGATATACTATAGATCATTAGATGGATCATTAAAAAGTAAAGTTTTATGTACTATAAGTACGTCATTACGCCATGACGCTGCAGCAGTTTGGGCTCACTTAGTGCCAATCCTACGGGAAATTGAAAGCATGGTTCCTCATTTTAACAAGCTCACTATTGTGTCTGATTCACCGACAGGTCAATATAGAAATAAGAAAATATTTTACATAGTCAGTCAATTGGTTTCTTTCAAAACTGTACAGACCTTACGCACGTCATGTGGCATTATTGCGAGTGTGGCCATGGCAAAGGTGCACCTGACGGGATTGGCGGAGTCTTAAAAAGAACTGCTGATGATAGAGTCGCTTATGGTTACGATATTACGGATATCGATTCACTGGCACAATGCCTAAAAAAACATGTCAAAGGAGTCAACGTACACATTGTGGAAGAGCACGAAGTCATAGAAAAAGACTGGCTCATTCCAACAGACTTGAAAGCTTTCAACGGGACATTCAAAGTTCATCAAGCCATATGGACTACGAAATCTTAAACTCGATTAGCACTACGGTCCCTTTCGTGCATCAAACCAGAATGCATAGACGATTCAATCGAATGTCCACATGGGTTACATCTGGGTTTTTACAAAGTAGGTGAAGATCAATGCCAAAATGAGAACTACATGAGAGGAACAAAATAATAACCCATACGAACCTGCAAGAGACAATTTGACTTTACAAAAAAATCCTCAGGGTAATTTAAATAAGCCTCAAATTTTAGAAATAAGGCGCTTTAAAGCTTGTAACAAGTTCTTTCTGAAGCGAAATGCTACCAAGTACCAAGAACCAACACCTTCAACTTCAGGACTATCAAACCAATCACTTTGTTCTATTGACGAAAATATAATAAGGATGAATTTTTCATCACCATCAGTTTCATTTTTCGATAATTTAAAAAGTGATGAAATTTCTCAATATGAGAGAAAAGAATCTACTTACAATAAAAGTAAAGGATACAAAAAACAGACAAGAAATGTTTTTTTACTGGAAAGTGATTCAGATGAAGATTTCAACATTTTCTAGTTGAGTTGTGGTGCCTCTACAGCATTATAGCTTAATTAAAATATCGGAAAGAGTGCATATACTTTCAACGTTATTATTATTTTAATTATAGTAAATAAAAAAGAATTGTTGATTTTTATCATGCATGCCAAAAATCAAAAGCTTCTAATATATATTCTCTAAATCTAAATATGTGATGACAATAAAGACTGGTTATATAATAACTACCTACTTAAGATAATAGTGATTGATTAAGATTACATTCGATTAGAATTTACAATTTATATTATAATAGTTTACTTCAAGTTTAAACAACTTTCTAAGTTTATGGACCCTAGAATAACTGATTATAGGGTTTATATTATGTAATAAATTAAGCTGTGATGCTGCTACTGCATTACGCTTAATTTAAACTCGCAAAGATACAGACGCCAGCACTTCAACTTACACCAAACTGTAAAATTTTCTCAATGCAGCTCGAGTCTTACTCGGTTACAATAAAGTTAAAATTTTTTGTATGAGTTGAAATGTTTGATTATAATAAATGACAATAAATTATAATATTGTGTAAAATATTTCTAATTCCGATGACACAAATCAATTACGGTGGAGTCGTTAAAATTATGATGGCTCAAATACAATTGCGGTGGCTTTTAATAATTTCAAATTGACATATCTCAAAAAATCATATTTCGTTTTTGATCTCTACTATATTATCGAATACTACAATTCATATCCAATTATGTATACTATAAAAAAAGTATGTAAAAAGGATATGAAAATTTGCCACCGTAATTAGGCAAAAATTGAGTTTGTTGAAATTGACCCATTTACATAAAGATGTAAAAAGTACGAGTAAAATAACACTCGTTGAACTGAGTAATTCATCCTTTAGGATTTTCTATGTTTTTCTTTTTGGATTTTTTGTTTTTTTATTGATATAAACATGGTATCAAAAAATTTTGGTATCAGATATCACCTCGATCCATTAACAAAAAAAGAATCTCCTCCTTTCTGAAGTCGTTTAAAAAGACGAAAGATTTGATTGCTTGTTTATTTGCATTGAATAGGTTCCCAGAATTATGTCTTTCATCTACGGGAAAATATATTATATGGGGGAGCATACAATACCGTAGGCTATAATTTACGCAGGCGAAGTCGCGGGGAAACAGTTAGTTTGATAGAAATTGGTTTACAATTCAAGAAGAAAAGTTGTATTTATACTACTTAAATGTAGAAAATCCTCTCTTCTGATTTTGAATGAATGCAAATTACGCTATATTTTGTTTTTTAGCTGAAGGAAACATTATCGTGGAGGCCACATAACATTTAAAAAGGTTTCTCTAGATGCAGGTTTTGTTTCGAAGATAAATTTGACGCGAATTCTCGATGTATAATAATATTTTTATTTACAAGTTGCTCTATTTATGCAAATTCTTATAAATTATAGTAACTATACCTAAATAATTATATATATTTGATCAACCTTGCATTTAATTTATTGAAAAATATTCTTAATGAAAAATGCTTAAAAAATCCTAAGTAAAAGTGGATTTTATTATATTTATTGTGATATCTCCGAATAATAGAAACTTTTTACAGGCCGTGATGGGTCAGTATTGTGAATACGACAACTTCTCTTGCGATGGACCACGCTGCAATGAGGGACCGTATCATTTTTTGGGGAATGCTTCCGCAGACCTTCTGATTATGCCTTCAGAGAAGTAGATTATTATAATCTTAGAATTTAGGATAATGATTTGTTATAAATTTTAATAATACCTATGAATACCTCTCTATTGTTTTTGTGAAAATAAAAATGTATGGATTACTTAGTTTTACTTCATATTTCTACCTTATATTAAAATAGTTTTTAGTGTCATTAACATAATACTATATAGTTAGAGTTGAGTAAGAAAGATAAACAAATTAATAAAAATATTAATTTTAATTATGCTTTGATTTTTCTTTAATACAAATGGTACTTCCGACTCATATGCCAACGTCCAAATTCTCAATATTATTCATAGCAATTTAAAAGTTCTCTCAGAGTTTATAAGACATCAACAGCAAGTAAAGAATCTGTGGGTACGTCGAAGGCGGGTGGGTCTTTCAGAGGGTGCACTGGAGCGAGCGGCTTCTTCAATTAACGAATTGATATGAGCTGCCGTCTGTCGCGGATGGCTCATCGGCTCGAGTGGCTGCCCGTTGTGGTTACGCGAAATTAGATTTCAACAAGTCTATTTTCTCCACCACCATTTTCTTTGAGATTTATCGAGTACATCTCGGTGACTGACTATTATCGGACCGGTTAAGTCTGAAAAATATTTATAAATAGTCCGACGTTTCATAAAGAAATCACGAATCTTATTTTATACTTTTAAACGCAGATAGTGCCTGGATTATTTTATAAAACAAATTATAAAGTTATTCCAATTAAATAGTAATTTATTATATATGAGTTTTCTGTCTGTAGCTTCGGCCGCCTGGAAATCCTTTAAGAATATTTTTGCGACAAACACTATCCGGTTATCCTTTCCTAAGGCCAACTCTATCTGTGTACCAAATTCCATTAAAATTGGTTCGTAGTTTAGGCGTGAAAACGTAACAGCCATACAGACAGGTTACTTTCGTATTTATAATATTGATATGGATTTTAACGTCTTTCGCTATTTAATATTTTAATCTTAAAGAAAATTTAAACGTCATGACATTATTGTGAAAATTATCCCTGTGTAAATCGAATTTTATTTAGTAGGTAATACATAAGTTAATTTTCGTTCGATAATTGTGGCGAAACCGTCGTCTGGAAGGAGGTCGTCTGCAACTCGATTATGGAAGGAGCGCCAAATTGTTTTAGTGTCGATCAACCGCGGCATGCGCAACGAGCCTTCGGTGACTCTAGCCAACATTTCTGGTGAAAATGACAAAATTAAATTAAAGCTGTTTATGTTTGTAAAAATTGATAACAATCTTCATTAAATATAAATTTAAGATGAGATCTCTTAAATTTTGAATTTGGTTAGCCGGTAACATTGTGTCTGTTACAAAATTAAATAATAATAAGATAGGCCATCTTAAATCTGTACTATAATTAAAATGTTAACTGATCAGTGTCTGTATATTGAAAATACATTAAAAAAAAAACAATTATGAGAGGCATTATAAACGTTATAGAACACAAAACAAAGATTTAAAAAAATTGTTTGTTTGTCTGCGTACGTTAGTCTCAGAAACGGTTGGACCGATTTAAAATAAGTTTTCACTATTGTATTGTGGTGATCTTTCGTTAACATTGAGTTATTTTTTATTTCAATCGGTTTATAAAAATAAAAAAATATGTCAATTTAAAGTATTGTCTTCGCCAAAATTACTATGAAATTAACTGTTTTATTACATTATAGTCTTTAATGTATTGATCATCATCGTCAGCTCTTTTACATCCCTATAGGCACAGGCCTTTGGACACCCATCCCGCGAATAACCCTTGCTTGGGAAAATTGCCTAACAACAACAATCGTGTAAAGTGGTGAACGTCATTTAGTGAGGATATTGATTCCATTTTTAGTATAAAAATACAAAAACAAAATTTATTGATTATACGTGTCTCATATATTAATTCTTATGTCATTTAAACTTACTTCACGTATACCACGAAACGTTATTTCAAGATTGAGCGGATGCCGCTTTTTCATCCGAGTAAATTCGAATTCGGGTTTGAATTTTTACAGAATCGCAGCGCTGGTGACTCGGCCACGGCTTCCCGAGTCTCACCTCCAAAGAGAAGTGGTACCGTAGGAGTTTTGCTGGTAACAGAGACGGTGCCATGTTTAAAATCGTTCCTGTGGTTTCGGAACCTATTCGATGCAAAAAAGCGATTAAATCTTTTCTCCTTTATCTATACATATATAAAAGGAGATGTCCTGCCTTACTGACTGACAGACAACGAACAAAACTAAACCGCTGGTCGTAGAAACTTGAAATTTGGAGGGAACATTCCCCTTAATACGTAGAGGTGTACTAAGACCGGATTTTGGGAAATTCCATCCCGCAGGGGGTCAAAAGGGGTGAAAATGTCTGTATGAAACTTCTTTGTTTGTGGATATATGGCGATGAAAATTGGTATTTGGGTAGTTTATGACCCTAGGAAGGTAATAGATTATATTTTATCCCGAAAACTAGCACTTAAAGGAATAAAAATGGGAGTAAAAGAATCAAAATGTTACCAAAGCAACCGTTGTTTACAATCTGATTTGTCATTTAATAAATGTACGTAATATTGTTTACAAAATGTTTTATTGTATAGGGATGAAAATTGGTATTTGATTAAATATTACATTTTTGAATTTTTACGGGTAAAAATGTTCAAATTCAAGTAATTTTGTTTACGAAAGAAAATTTATTTTTATATTATATACATGAACTACACTAGATGGCGTTAAATAAATTCTAAACCGTAGAATTTTTGTCTAGAAAATTTACCTAAAATAACTTTTCAGCCAGCTGATGGCAAGTATATTCTAAATCGCGTTATTATTTTGATCAAAGAATTTTGTGCAGGCTTTAAATCAAAAACATTAAAATGATGCTCCAAGTTAGATTAAAGAAATTGCAATTATTTATGTTTTTCGTTACATCAGTAATTAATTTATTGAGGATAGGTATTGCTAGATCTTAACCTAATATTTTCAAGATGATAATTTTCACAAATCCTATTTTATTACATTTGTTAATTCATATATGTAAGCATCTTAGGATAGGTTTTTAAGTATATATGTCGTGGCCAGATCGTAAAACTGACCAATTCATGATGCGGCCAGCCATTTCATGAAATGTTTGTATTTCATGAAATGGACAAATCTTACTGCCCTCATCATGATGTGGCCTGAAATGATCAATGAATGATTTGCGTTTAACGATATGGATTGTTGATAGTATGACTTCTTCATGGTGTGGCCAAGAATAAGTGATCATATCGTAAACTAATAACGTAAGTCTTAGTAAGAGGCGCTGACGTCGCATTGTTTTTGTGCCACATAATTTATTTGAATTTTTATGTTATATAAGAAATTAAGCAACGGAAAACAAATACTTGATTAAGTTTAGTGAGATGAATGTAGGAATGTAGAGCGAAGGTGCAGCAGCAAAGGCTATTTCTATAGTTTTTTTTATATATGTCGGTTATGATAAAGACAGGATTGTGACCTAGCTCCAAAAGACGGAAAAATATATTGGAGAACACACAGCCTAAGACGCTGATCATAGAGATTTGAAAGTTGGAGGGTACATTCGCCTTATTGCGTAGGTACTAAAAGCAATTTTTTGGTAATTGATGGCGTTAAGTATTCTACACCGCACTGTTTATATTTTTTTGCTCAATTGCCTAAGATTGAATTTTAAAATAAAATGTAGTAAGAAATTTAAGCTTTGCTATACTAGATGGTGTTTATTCTAAAATAATCTGCGGTAACGATTCTTTCAAAGAATTTTGCGTAGATTACGTTTTCAATTAAGATTTGTGTAAACTTCAGAACTGTTTTTTTCCACGTGTATTTCAAATTGGATAGGATTGGAATAATATCTCTAAAGTTTTCAAAGATAAAGTGCTGAAACATATTGGATATTTGTTGATTTTTGTTTTTGTTTTCGTATCTTTGAACTTAAACTTCAAGATTATCTCATCAAGCTCGAAAAACAACAGCGGAAAATATATGCTGCCCAAAGTAACTATACCACGTGGACGAAGTCGCGGGCAAAAGCTAGTTATAGTATATATTATAAGAGGTCCAATGGTGTAGTGGGTTAACGCATTCGGTTTACGAAGCGGTTGAATATGATTTTGAATAAATAATGTATAGATAAAATATAAAATTACATAATAAATATAAATATTCTACATAACTACGTACAAAAGATAAACTTATCGCTAGCCAGCGACTTCTTTCAGGCAACCTAGCATTGGGTGGTAAAACTTCATTATTACCGCATGCAAGGTAAGCCGTTATTCCCGGCTCCATCAGCAGTCGTTAACACCCACCAATTCGCAATCGGCCCGCGTAGTGGGTTGCTGATATTCCCTACCACTATATACATAGACGAAGTACTCACGTGGTCCATTTACTCGCGGGCGTTCTTAAATCAGTTATGTCAGCCATCTTAGAGAGCCTCAGCGCCAATCGGACTAGGAGTCAAAGCGGTCGTGATGATCGAAATCGGATGGAAGCTATATCATCCCCATTTTTAAGAGTTCGAAGGTGTTTTTTTTTTACACTTGTGAGTATTACATATTATATACGTTCGAGTCATAATCCTACAATAGCTTTCTGTGAGTAAAATAAATATAATAAAAAAAAAACCGAAATAAAAACGTTGAGAGTCTGCCAACGGCAATTATAGACGTTCTCGGTCAGAAATTTTAAAAAAAAAGTAAGTTGACGATTAAGCTTCTTTTTAAAACTAAGTGGCGGAGAATCAGAATTTTCATAGTGAGTCTGAAATGGAGTAGCGATATATGCTTGCGTGTCTGCGTTTGAACACGTAGTTCGGTTTATTTAATTTTATTTAGATTTAACTCAAAATCGAAAAACCAAATTCGAGTTTTGAAAACCGGATTTTGAAAAGTACTGTAATCCGGAAATTTCATTTATATTCGAATTTCGAAGTAACCGGATTGCAACCCCTAGTAAAGATTAGCAATAAAGAAATACATAAAGTAAAGCTTCTTAATT